GGAATCTGCACTTGCACAATTATTTCCTCCTTTATACTACTTAGCACCTCTGGAATTGTTTCTCCAGCAGGAGAAGTATCCCAGCTCTTCCCATGGATACGAGGATAGAGTCACGGGGAGAGCCATGATCTAATCCCATCCCCTTTTCTCTCGACGGGAACAACCGAGCATGCACGACCTCAAATCATCTGAAAGCGATTACGGTGGCGAGGAGAAATTCCACACCTCGCTTTTCGGTTGCACATTGCAAGCACACAGAGCCATCTGCAAAAGGCAGCCACGTTCTCTCACACGAAGTTATAAATTACCCCAATGAGTTCTTTTCTTACCAAAAAAAAAAAAAAATCATATACAAGAAGCAGAATTTGTTAAGTGCTGGAAAGAGAGAGGCGGGTCATTTTTCTTATCAGTCTGGAAGGAGGGGAAATGGCATCCAAGAGCCGGCATGAATTATTGCAGTGCTGTAGAAACAGAGGAGGATTCAAAACCCCAGCCCAAGCCAAATTGGAAGGCCAGGGCTCCCTTGTTTATTTATTTTGTTTTGCCGGAGGAACTGACAGAAAGACAAGAAAAAGCCACTTTCTTGATTAATGAGGTGAAAACCCTCCCCCTCGTTTCAGACCTTACATTGGTATCAAGTGCTCCAAGCCTCGATAACAGGAGATGGGGCTGCCCGAACGCCTGTGAACTCCCCTGCATCTTTAAACAATTACGGACCGAGGCATGTTTTTGCCCCAGCAAAACGGCTGCATCGCTAATGGGGCTGTGTCTTTGTCAGGGGCTTTCCCACCAGCCCTGCAACAGCTCCGGCATCAGCTGCTTGAACCTCTTTGAAAACAATCAATTAACTCAACTCCAGCGTCATTAGACACGCAGCGAAACAAGCGGTGAGCACCTTGCAGTGAGGCTGCGGCAGAGACCAGAATCGCAGACTCTTTCTGGCCCATCGTGATCCACCAGGTTGCTCCCCAGGAACCAGCACGGGCTTGTCCAGCCACGGTGCGCTGGGACCGTCTCTGTCACCACAGAGGCTGGTCAGCCACAGAGACCTGGGGGAACACCTAAGGCCTTGGTCAGCCCCCCATCCTCTTCTGCACCCATCGTACCGGGAAGGCGTAGATGAAGATCCCCAGGAAGAGCAGCAAAATGAAGAGCACGATGGCCAGGATAACCACCCACTTGTACCGCCGCCACAGGATGTACTTCAGGGTCTTGTACGGGGAGGTGAACCACAGGAAGGAGGTCTCCGGGCGCCTGGAGCAATACAAAGCTGAGGTCACTTCTGAGTTTCACAGTAGCTTCACCTTCCTGAATCCCCAACCCCATGAGCACGCCCTGATGTAACAAGCTGGGTGTTCACCCTACAAACCCACATCCCTCTGGGTAGACCATGTCAAATGCCCTCCTTGGCGGTCCAGACCAGCCTCCCAGCCATCCTGGGTTGTCTCAGCTCATACAGCCTGGGCTTCAACAGCTCAGAAATGGAGTCTACACAGGAGCAAGCCTGTTGCAGACAGCAGACTTCAAACTGGGAACTCAGATTTTCAATTTGCTCCATGAGAATTCTGTGCCCCTGTGGTTATTTTTCCATTTGAGATGCTCTTACTTGGGGTCCTCCAGCTTAGGGTTCATATTTGGCTCATCCCGACCCATGCCAGCTGGCCGTTCTTCATGCTCTTGTTCTGCCACAATTTCCAAAGTCATTTCCAGTTTGCCCTGTGTGGGTTAAACAAAAATAAACATAAACAAAACAAAACAAAAAAAAAAAAGGAGAGAAATTAATGGATGATGCAAAATACTAATTGGGGAAAGAAAAAGTACTTTGAGCATAACCCAACCACTACCAACAAGGACCATGAAGAACCCAGTAAGAGTGGATTTCATACAGATCCTTCACCTGCCCACTACAATGTTCTCAGCAGGTACTCCGGAACATCTCAAATGTTACTGACACCCAAGTCGTGGCAACCGACACGGGGTCTTTTGTTGAATTACTTCATTCTCTGCCTGTACAACTTTACCTGTATTGAACGACTGCCAAAGACTTGAACAAAGCCCAGACACTTACATTTAAATATATCAGTCTGACAGCTGAAACCTTTCCCTTGTACTTGTCACAACATAATATAATTAAGAATAGACATGACACAGAGTCAAATTAGGTGTCATGTTCCAAAAATGACAGCAAAAATCACACAGAAGAAATAATTTCTTCTGAGCCATTTGCATGGTGCTGAACAAATCCTAGAAAATATCCCACTGACAAAAGCTGGTCCAGTTTGTAAAATTTGCAGCCCGAGACTGTGTTTCTTGCCCTGACCATGGCCTCCTGCAAGTGCTTGGCCCAGCCACCTCCCTCCTCAATGTTTTGAGTGAGTCCCCCAAGAGAACACTTTACCGCCAGGATCTTCTTTTGGTCCTGCTCAGCAACACAGGGCCACCATCCCTTGACAGTTTTCTGCTCAAAGAGTGACACAAAGCGACTTGAAGACAGGGTCTCATCTACTAGCTCTAAGGAGCACTTCTCAGCAGTCTTGGCAGGTTTGGGCATCTTGTTGAGATCCATTTGAATGGAGCCTGCAAGGAGGAATGTTACTGGGAAGACATCTCGGTGTAACATCCTTAAAATGTGGAACGTTCCCCTGAAGAAATATTCACTGCGGCACCCTCCTGACCTCAGGAAGCTTGGAAAGACACCCACACAGCAAGAGGGAGAGCAGGCTCAAGTACGGACCTATTTCCAAACATAGTGCCAGTTTTAGCCAGTGGCTCTTCCTAGGAACTGAGTTCTTGGCATCACCATTGTGCTTAGGAAGACCGGAGCCATGAAGTCCTAGAAGATGCTACACCACCTCACAGGCTGCCCAGGGAGGTGGTGGAGTCACCATCACTGGAAGTATTCAAAATCATGTAGACGTGGCACTTCAGGACATGGTTTAGTGGGCATGGTGGTGTTGGGTTGATGGTTGGACTTGATGATCCTAAATGTCTTTTCCAACCTTAACGATTCTGTGATTCTCTGAAAATATTTGCTGACTTATACAGCTATACAGTTGGATGATTTGCACTGAATTCAACCAGGCAGGCTGAGATTTTTAATGAAGACTAAGGGATTTAGGTGAAACTCAGCTGGTTTCACTCAACACCCAGAGTGTCACTCTGACACTCTTCCCACTACAATGTTCTCAGGAGATACTCCAGAACATCTCAAATTGACACCCAGACTGTCCAGAGCACAGTCAATATAAGAGCATTGGGCAGGATGCTTTCAGATGTCCAAACAGGCTTTTATTGACCCACCCAGGTAACTAACCTCAGCAGACTAAATATTGAAGGATATCCCACAAAATCAATAGCTTGCTTCTCAGAGTGATCTAGTAATTAGCACATTTATCTAGCCCTTAGGAAATCTGAGCTCAGCTCTCCAATTGTTAGTTGAAAGTGCCTGCATTTAATTTACGTTGCTACATCAAATTAGCTTTATGGTTGGGAACGACCAAGAACACACACAGGGTCTGGTCCTGTGGCTCAGTTGAGGGACAGCAGCTTTTTACGCTGCTGTGGACGACTCACATTCAATTTTCTGCTTGTATTTGTAGCTTTTCTGTGCCACAGATTCTTGCAGCCAGTGACAATAACAGCACAGATCAGATTTGTTGTGAAACACTTTTGAGGTCCATTGAGGAAAAGTGCTTTACGGAAGGCAAAGACCACTTTCATTTGTTGGAATTTGCAAAGAATTAATGTTGGCAGTCAAGAGCTTCTGATGTGCAGAGCCAGAACCGGAGAACACACCTTGGAGAACTTATGACTGTAATCAGCCTATGTAATTAATCAAAGACGGGTTTTAAAGGATCGTGATTACATACTTAGTGTAGTTTCTATGTTTGAAATTTTTTCAGTGGCAAAAAGAAAGGTATAATAAGATCCAACCAAAAAACCCGTAATGCTGGTGCCTCCAGCTTCTGCACAGGTAATGTACTGCATGGGTCTGCTATCCCTCCTATTAGAGGTTTTTGTTTTATTTTTTTCTTGGCCTAAATCTACATTTCTGAGGATGATTAACAAGGCTAGCACTGAAAAAGGCAAGTGTTCGATAGAGCTGTGTTCATGTCTAAACAACCCCAGCAAGGCAAAGCAGGTCAGTGAACCTGCCTGGTGGTCTCAGCTCAAATACATGGTTAGCCCTGGTGAACACATTTCAGCACAGACTCAGCTAAGTCAAGGAGAATTGGGGCCTTCCTGGAAGGTGGTGACTCTGTTGGATTTGATGATGGTCTCAACATTATGTCAGCCCGGACACAGGATGCTGCAGTCTGAGGCTGGAAATCTGCCTAATACAAACCACTTATCATCAGTCCTGAACTTATGCTGACACTGAATCCTGTTCAGTGGCTTAAACTGGTCTTGTTACACTTGCGTCACATCCTGAAAGGATTCAGTAACTTCTTCCTTCCTGTCTGCATCAGCAGGGATGGA